CTCAAGAAACTTGCTGTTTCAGCAACATTTAACCAAACAACTGTACTTTTGAGGTTAAGTAAATGTTCATAATTAATATAAATAAATTACAAGTTAAAAGGGGCATGGAAATTTCTGTTATTTGTATCGAAGAAATATCGAACCGTGAGACTAAAGTATCGAACCGAACCGTAATTAGGGGTGCAACGATACAGGAAATTCACGGTTCGGTTCGATACTTTAGTCTCACGGTTCGATATTTTTTCAATATAAAAAAGAGAAATTTCCATGCTCTTTTTAACTTGTAATTTATTTATATTAATTATGAACATTTACTTAACCTCAAAAGTACAGTTGTTTGGTTAAATGTTGCTGAAACAGCAAGTTTCTTGAGTTGCGCTCAAAAATGCAGCCTAGGTGGAGTAGTTGAACACAGATCCACTGATCCTTTAACACAGAGCATCTTCAGAAGACAAGCTGATAGAGTAAATTTTTAAAATCTGTATTGTTCGATACAGCACTGTTCGATACGGTTCGGTTAGATCCGGGTACATGTATTATTGCACCCCTAATATATATGGCAGCTTTCAAGGCAGCAGCCATGTTCAGGACATGGCCTAAAAGATAAGCCCCCTCACACATTACTTGCCAGGGTATTCAGATATGTCATCTCTTTTCGTTCTGAAATAAAAGGGTGCCCTACAACTTTTGACTCACGCTGTATATTTCTGCCATTCACAAAACCCAAACTTCATCAAAAACCTTCATCATTCTATAGAAAGTTCCAGTTTTATAATAGTTACCTCTCATGTTGTGAGGAGAATCTCTTATCGTCATACAAGATGAGGTCCCTGAGGGACACAATTTCATCATATCCAGGAAGAAAAATCAGGACCGCACCTGAAGATCAGAGAATAAAAGCTCACACTTTGACAGGGATTTGATGTAGCTGCTGTGTAGATGTGTCTTATGCTAGCTGTAAAATCTCTTTTTTACTAAAAAAAACTTATGTATAGTTGAAAAGTAAATAATTTTACTACATATACCATGTTCACCACTAAAAAAATAATAAAAAAAACAAAGCAAGGAATATTGGTGAAGGGACTCTGTGTCTAAATTCAAGGGCTGCGTTCTTCGAAGGTGGGCTGGGTCTTTTGTCAACCACAAACACCAGGAGACAGAGGCTGTGAATTTGACTGTCTAACCTTCAGTTTTATTCCTGCCCTTACTGCGGCGTTTGTCCTGTCATCTACCAACAATGACAACATTAAACAGAACAAAAAATAGGTTAAGAATAAATAAATATATTATAAATTAAAATTATCTTAAAAACAGTGTTTGAACATTTAGAGACCTGATGTACGAGCTCGTTTGATATCTGACAAGAATAACATTGAAATCACGTCTATGTAAATGACAAAAGTCTAACTACTTTCTCTGGCTTCATCCGCCACTACAAGCAAAAAAAAAAAAAAATCTCCAGTTGAACCACAATGCATCTTGGGATAGGGTAAGCCAAGAGGGATCCACAGGACTTGTCTCTCAAATCAGGGAATAAGGAGAATGTATTTGTGGTCCGCAGTTGGAGGAGTATTGAATGTTGGACAGCCTTCAGCGTGGCGCAGTGATGTAAGTGGACAACAAATTTAGCCTTTGAAGGACGCAGCCCCTGAATCTGAATTTGGACACAACAAAAACCTGGTTGCAAATAAATGAGCTCCACCTGAACAGTTTTTGAATCTTGTTTACCACTAAAAATCAAACAGGTTATGAATTCAAAATTTACAATATAAAATTCACTGCAGGAAAAAATAGAAAGTTAGATCTGCTGGTATCCCACTTCTCAGCCTCCCTGGTGAAGTCTACATGAAGGTGCTGAGGAGGATCTTCTAGTCAGAAGGGACCTTCAGATTCAGAAGAAGTGGATGACAATTGTTTCTGGTTGTGGAATATACCTACACTGCCAAGTCAAAAAAAAAAAAAAGTCTCCACCTGGGTTTAACTAAGCTCTATGATGTGGGTTTGTTGCAGGTGGTCAGTTCTAGGTTCAGCAACAGTTTGGGCTCAAAGAATGAGGTCAGCTGACCTGAATATACTGAATGACCAGGTTATTCCATCAAAGGATTGTTTCCTCCCTGATAGCACAGCCATATTCCAAGATGACAATGCCAGGATTCATGGGGCTCTTAATGTGAAAGAGTGGTTCAGGGAGCATGAGACATCATTTTCACACATGGATTGGCTCCACAGGGTTTATGTTTCTTCATATTTAACATGAAATTCATTTCTAAAACTTTAATTTTACAAAAGGGTAACTTTCTTAATGTGAGATTCTATGATTTACAAATAATATTTTTTCTTGGTAAATACCTTATTAAATATCTTGCAAAAATAATTTCATGTTCTACTGAATCACAGCTATATGTTATATTAGTGAAAGTGAAATAACAGCCATTATTTTTTTTATTTTATTTCTGTAGCTATTTATTTGTTAAATTATTTTTCAGTCACTTTTTAGGTTAACAAAAAAAATCGTGATATTAATCGAGATCGGACGATATGAAAAAATTAATTGTGATCTTTTTTTTTTTTGCCATATCGCCCAGCCCTACTACCATCATCAATGCAAGATCTTGGTGAAAAATTAATGCAACACTGGATGGAAATAAATCTGGTGACATTGCAGAAACCTATCAAAACAATGCCACAGAGAATGTGTGTCGAAATTTTTTATTTTTTCACACACTCTAATATTTTGGTCCAACAAAATATTAGAGTGTGTGACCTTTTTTTTGGTGGTGACTTTTCTTTTAGCCAGGCAGTGTATTAGCTCAGATCACACAGACAGCAGGACTTCTTCATGCACTGAGTGGGTTGGCAAACAAGTGTGGCACAACAAGAGGAGAATTCAAATTACCAGGTCTACGCCTGTAATATTCAGCTAAAAAAAAGAGAGAGAGAAAGAGAGGATCACACATTTACTGTTCAGATCCAAAGCAACAAATGCTTGTAAGGCATGTTTATGTTTTCATCTGATTGCTGGGTGTAAAGTTGAAACACAGAATAAAAAAACAAAACTGTCCAACATCAGCTGTAACACAAAATAATATTTTATATTCATCTTGACCACCTTAGACGTTACCTTACTAACATGGATCTTGTGTAGCTGTTGTTTCATTCCTCTATCAGCAGGCAGTTTGCGTGTCTGTATTCCTGAGTCTCACCTTCACTGGTGGTGGAGCAGATGTTGTGGAGCAGAGTCATGATGAGCTCGAGGTCCACCCACTGATCATCGAAGCTGTGGTGGTACAGTTTGAGCAGCTCTTGCTCTTCAGGGCTCAGCTCTGCAGAGCCAGCCGGTGTCAGTGCCGACTCCTCCAGGCTGCTCCCTTCTCTTAAAGGTCTGAACAGGAACAAAACAAACGTTCAGTATTATTCAGCACCCAAAGCTAAACAACCTTCAACATCAAGCTGGCTGCACAGTTATGTGAATGAATCAAATCTACAATTTTAAAAAAAAATGCATTTTCTGTAAGGAAATGTTCCGAACTATTGGTTGTCATTAAGTCAAGTGTAACAAATCAAGACAATTTGTTGAGATGAAAATAAGGACTTGTATACAAAATATACTGCATGTTCTCACATATATTTCTTCTTTATTAAATGCTCTCTTAGTTTATAAATGCTTGGATGTAACCAGCTTGTTTATAATACATTTGTGATCTTGATTCATCTTGTTCATAATAAATCTGAAACTGTACCTTAAAGTACAATCAACCACTTTGCCTTTTATAATGTGTATATACTGTGTATAAATAATCTTGAATGAATAAAGTTGATAAATAAAACATGAGAAGTTCATCTACTGTATTTGGAATAAATTATAAAGATGGTGAAGCTGACTGTTATAAACATATCTCCTTGCAAATTTCTTCTACCACAAGTCTAAGATTTCAGAGTTCCCTCTGTGTGGACGGTCCTGAATGGATTTTCTACATGAAACCCAAAAACCTGGACAAGGTGACTGACCTCATCTTAAAAGGTAAAGCTGGCTGTTATGAACTTCGCTGTCTGGCCGACGCCGAGTAGAGAACGCCTAGCCTCTCTCTGGTTAAACCCACATTTATTTAAGATAAAAGTTAGGAAAAGCTAACACCTTACTTTCCTCCTTTTTCTTAAAATCTTCCTTGCCAACTAAGTTATTTGCCTCAAATGTCTGGTTTTAAACATCTAACTTGATGCTTGTGTCTATTTAAAGTGCCTGTGGTTGATAAGTTTAATTTAGTAATTTTGTCTGATTTGTAAAATAAACAATCACATTTATTTATGGATCAAATCAAAATTCACTGACAGAGTCACTTTTGTGTGTCCATTCATTTCGCACTGGAAGAATGTTTAACTGAAAAGAAAAGAGATCCTTGCTAAAATATATTCCTTAAAACCTCGTTATAAGAGGGTAAGACTGAACTCTTTCAAAT